AAAAAAAAAAAAAAAAAAAAAAACAATAATTAAAAAAAAAATTGTTATAAAATAAATTACCTTTTAATTTTAAAAGTTAAAAGATTACCGTTTTCTTAAGATCATGAATCACATTAGTTCCTTTGTCTCTTAGTGCATCAAAAGCCATCTCATTAATAGAATTGTAGAGACCAAAAAAACATATTTTCATATAGTCAGGAAGTTGGTCCATTGCATCAACATTCCACCTAAAATCATAACTTAGAAGAGAGTTAAATATTTATATATTTTCTTAAAGAAAAACAAAAAGAGCTTACCTTTCTATGGCATCCGTAAAGAGCTCGAGTTCATCTAATGTGCCATAGACATCGTAAACGTCATCTATTGTTGTAATTAATGCATTAACTTTTGTGACCATTCTTCTAAAATATGAGAGTTGTGGTTCAAATCCAAAACCCACCGTCCAAAAGAAACATTCCATTAATCTATCTCTTGCAAAGCTCAACTTTTCGCTAAATCCAATGCTACTCCACCACCTATTCATAAATATTAGAATGCAAGTAAATGGATATTAGAAGTATTGATGTAATTAAATTTAGGGCATAGTATTTATTTTAATTCTTTTAATTTTATTTATTTTTCCACTAATATTATCTTTTAGTTGTTCGTGTCTTCTCGATAATGTAATAGAAAATTATATTTTGAGTTAGATTCAATGATATGCTTAATATTGGGCAATCTCCCGATGCAAATAGAACGATGATCTAAAATCCAATCCCATAAATGAATTAGATTGGGATTGTATAAGTCCAAGTCCAAGTTTGGCTTGACGTTTAGGCCATTGTCTCAATGGTGAGACTACTCACAAATGACAAAGTGTGTTTGATTTATAATAATCATACCTTGATGCATATTTTAGATCTTCTTGATGAATAGATTGCACTCGATTGAAATCTAATTTAGCAATTTCAAGAAGAATAGGATTCATATCCACTTTTCTCTGATAGATATCAATGAACCATCTTGCCTCCAATCTTGATATTCGCCAATGTAAGGGAAGTTCCAACGCATGTCTAATAATAGATGCTTCATATTCATCCTTGCACGACCTGGTGTACTTTTCCAAATAGTTGATTGTAAAATGTTTGGCTGCCTCTAAAATGTTCTCACCTTCTTTACATAAGAATGAAGCTTCGTACAATGATACCATTCCATTTAAATCTTGATAGAGTCCTGTGCTAAAATTCTTCGTCTCCTCGAAGTTATTGAAAACATCTGTCATTAAAATTCAATATCTGTCATCAAAATTAAATAATACTTAGTTTTCGACAGAAACTATTTAAGAAAGTGAATACCTTGCGAAACATCGAATCCATGTTGTCTTAGAAGTCTAAATTCAAGTGATATTGCATACAAATTATTCTTTTCTGAATCATCACTTTTGAAGCGCTTCTCATATATTCTTTTCAACACATCTTTAATTTCATTCTCAAAATGATATGAGATTCCAAGTCGTTGTAAAGTATCAATGAGCTTGAGTCGCTTTAGAGGATCGTCTTTTATTTGGTTCATAAGCACACCAATCTTTTCCTTTAGCTCATTGAAGCGTTCTACATATAATTCTTCCTGAACATAACATACATTAATTGCTAACTCTTTTCAACATTAAATATAAATAAACAAAGAAAACAACCATTTAAAGATTTCTATCATTCATACCTTAAATTCACTGTTTAATGCTTGAATGTACTCATATTTCCAAATAGGAGGCTTGTAATTTCCAGATCGTCGTGTAATGTTTTGATTTGATACTTTTGCATCACTAATTACCTTAGCAGTAGGACAGATAATTGAAGAGTTTTGATCAAAATAGACTCGTTTGATGGAAGGGTTGATCGTAAAAGGAGTGAGAAACTTGTAAAGAGCCATTGAGAGAGTGGAAGTAAGAATTTGTTGGTTTAATGACTAATTAGTAAGAGAGGTAACTAATATATATAGATGATCCAAACTCGGTTTTATTCTCCAATATATATTTTTTTAATATAACAATTGTCAAATGGACATCAAACCTTACCTTAATAAGCATGCTAATTATCACTCAACTAATTCACATTTACTTTCTCTAATTAATTTGTTATTACAATAAGATAAATTCTCTGTTAATTTACTTATTAAATGAGTTTAGTAACACACTTTAATTTTCATAAAAAGTTAATTAATATGGATGGGAGCTGAATTTGTTGTTGGAATCGTCATTTTGTGTTTATTTGAGGAGTGTTTCAAATTTTCAAATTTTGCCAATTTTGTAAAATGTTTGAAAAATTGGCTGCCGACCAAATACATCACATTTCAAGCCAACCCATTTCTTGTCCACCATACATAGGTTATCCTCTCCTCCTGCAAAAATGTGCTTCTAGAAGAGTGAGTATTATTATATCGAGTTTAAAGATTCCAAACAATGTCATGAATTTATAGGTTTATAACAAAGTCGATAAAACAATTATAAAGGAAAAATAAATCATATTAAACTTGGATAATATAAAGATATTGAAACAACACCCTGGTCTAACTTAAGGGCTACTAATAACATGAATGCTTCTACCTTAACTTTAGTTTCATGGTCATCCTCGCGACATTGTCATCCATCCATAGGTGTCTTGCCTTTACCTTTGAGTATTTTAAGAAATACTTGGTAAGTGACCCTACTATTGGGGTAAGGAAATACAATTACATGCATTTGTGTTTGGGACCTACCATGAAATATCATTTTATAAGAATTGTGGGTAATCATGTTTAGAAGCTATAGGAACAAGTTTAAAGGGAAATAGTTTACCATTGATCTCGAATTTGGAAGAAATATGAGTGTAGAAGAACCAAACACTAAATGCTTATTACTTGCGACATGAGCTCGACTCAACTTAATTCTTAATCCATATGAATGCCCCAACTTCAGACTTCAAAGGGAAACTTAAACCAGCGTTGAAACCTCTAGAATCGTCGTGATTTTAGAAAAGAGTTTTTTGGATTATCCGTCAGAAATATCATCTTCGATCAGCGAGCTGCTAACTTCTAGTCATTAGATGTGGTGAGCTGTATGTTATCTATAACAGACTTAAATTTGGTGAAGATTCAACGGTTGGATTTGAAGTTTCGATGGATTTTCTGATGACTTTCCACGGTTGTAGATTTGATTTTCTAATCCATGGCATTTTCGTAATTATCTTGACCTACAGGAATATATTTGTAATTTGAAATTTTCTGAATATTTTTTTATTATTTTTTTAAACATTCTTCATTTTTTGTGGGTCATTTTTTACTTTTTAGATAAGAATTTAAAAATTCAGAAAATTCCTTAAAAATTAGAAAAATAATTTTTTTTTTTTTTTTTTTTGTCCTTTTAGTTTACTCTTTCATTTCCAAATTTCCAATCTTTGTTTGAAAAGAAACTCCTTAAAATTACTTTTAAAAATAACTTGTTTAAGATTCTTGTCCTTATTTAGATCTCTTAATTCCTTTCTTCAGATTTTTTGGATCTCAAATGAACGACTTTAACCTTATTTGAGTATTACAAAATGGACGATTTAATCGTGTTTGAGTTTGGGTTCCGGTGTTATATATATGATGTAACAGTAGTTATTCAAAAAAATGAAAAAAATATTGAAAAGTTCCAACTCTTGCGCGGCACTGACAAACTCATAATATAACTAAAGTTAGCATAATCAAATGACCAAACCAATTAAAGAGAATAGCACACAGCCGAAGTAAATCATACCCATGTGCGCGGCCCAACATATAATCACGACTGAGAGGTTATTTGTGTTTAGCCAGCCTACTCGAAAAGAGAAATGCTAGCCCAACCTAAAGTCCACATTTCTCTCTCACGTGCAATGCACATGTCATCCTCTCCAGCCACGACTTATCCACGGCTCATTCATGTATGCATGGTGTCACAATCGCACTTTTGATGGCAGCGGACTTGCGATTGTGCGGCACTCATTTTCCAACAACAAGTGAGCTAAGTCAATTCGTTCTTGCGTCGCCTATGACCAAGCGACGTATGCTCGAGCCTCTGGCCTCGGTTTTAAGAGAAGGTTTTAGAAAACGAGGACAGAGAGAGATTTTCGAAAGAGATGTTATATAAGTAAGCAAGAGAAATAACAACGGCTCACAGTATATAACCTTGGGTAGGGAGAAGATTGACAACTAGTTTTATCCCCCTATAGTACATTTTGAGACATTTCATGTTTAACAGACCTAGACATGATATTTGTGAAACGTCATACTTCCTAGAAATACAAAAGTAAAACACTAGAATATAAAAAGACATAAAGGGTTGGACTTGTCATGGGCATGCGGCCATGGGCAACACGCCTTGGACGAGCATGACCGTGACATCCTCCCCCACCTAATTGGTTGACGTCCCTGTCAACAGACTACTTTCGAACATGGCGATGTGGGTGGCGGCGAAGTCCAAGTCTTCGGCGCGTTCCCAGCTGGTTTCCTCTATAGGGAGATTCTTCCATTTGACAAGGAATTCACGAATCGTCCGTATAGGTCTTCCTATCTTCCTAACCTTGTCGGCTAGGATCTCCTCTATTTCTTTGCTGTCTCTTTGTTTCAGATCGATACTCGGTCTTGTGATTACGTTTCGCTGGTCATCGTCCGGGTCAGATTGATAAGGCTTCAAGTTGCTCACAAGAATTACTGGGTGGATTTTCATCCATGTGGTAGTGCAACTCTGTAGGAGGTAGCCCCGATCTTTTTAAGGACTTCAACTGGGCCTTCATATTTTCGAACTAGTAGCTGGTTCTTTCGGCTGCGAAATCTGATAAGTTATGGTCTCAACTTGATGAGGACTTGATCTCCTGCTCGGAATTGGAGGGGGTGACGCTTCTTGTCCGCCCACTTCTTCGTATGCTTGGAAGTTTCTCTAAATATGTCGGGGCTATATCTGTTGTCTGCTTCCATTCTCTTGTAAAGTTTTGAGCTTGAGGGTTTTTTCCTGCATAAGGATGATCAATAATATGTGGTAAGGCCGGTTGTCGTCCACTTACAATTTTGAAGGGACTCTTCCCTATAGACGAGCTCGTTTGACGATTGAAACAGAATTGGGCAACATCTAGCAGTTGTATCCAGTTCTTCTGGCGAGTGTCGACGAAGTGACGTAAGTATTTTTTCAGCAAGCAGTTGAACCGTTCTGTCTGTCCGAACGGTTTTCTCGACTTTTGGGAGGTGTTTTATGAAGTCTAGAGACACACTTTCCCAAGGCCTTGTTGGTACAGGTAGAGATTCCAAAAGTCTCGAGACTTTGGTTTTCTCGACTTTGTCCTGTTGTCTGATGAGGCACGTCTTGATGTACTGCATGATATTATCTCGCATATTCGACCAGAAATACCCCTTTTTGATTAGGGCATACGTTCTTTGCCACCCAGGGTGTCCTGCCCATAAGGTATCATGACATTCCTGAATGAGCCTCTTCCTCAATTCTCCTGTTCTTGGGATGTATAATCTGTTTTCTTTAGTCATTAGAAGGTCTCCCTCAACCCAAAACTGTTGTGTCTTCCCAGCTTTAGCTAGTTCGACAATGGCTTTGGCCGATGGGTCTTTGTGTAAATGTTCTTTGATGATGTCGCGCATCGATCCATCGATCTTACTTGAATGAATATGGGCTAACATGCACAGGGCCGCATGTTCGCCCTTCCGACTCAGCGCATCGGCTGCTTGGTTACTCTTTCTTGCCTTGTGTTCGAATTTGAAGTCGAATTCTGCCAACGACTCCTGCCACCGGGCTTGTTTTGCCGTCAATTTTGGTTGATCGAAGAAGTGGCAAATGGCGCTGTTATCCGTCTTCACTGTGAACTGTGATCCTAAGAGGTACTGTCTCCAGACGCGTAGGCAATGGACCACAGCCAACATTTCTTTTTCTGAGACAGTGTATCTCTGTTCAGCATCGTTGAGTTTTCGACTTTCATAAGCAATAGGGTGGCCTTCTCGAATAAGGACACCACTGAGGGCAAAGTCGGAAGCATCTGTCTCTATTTCAAATGGCTTTGTAATATCTACTAACCCGAGGATAAAACCCCTCGTTATGGTTGCCTTAAGATCTTCAAAGGCCATTTGATATTTATTTGACCACGACTAAGGGTGGTCTTTCTTCAGGAGCTCTGTTAATGGGGCGGCTCGCCGTGAAAACCCTTCGATGAACCGCTATAGTAGTTTTCCAATCCTAGGAAGGATCGCATGTCGGATACGGAAGTAGGGGTTTTCCACTATTGGATAGCTTTTATCTTGTCACTATCCATGCCGATCTGCCCGCAACTAATGACATGTCCAAGGAAGTTGATGCATGTTTGTGCATAGGCACATTTTTCTTTCTTGACGTACCACTAATTATGCCGCAGCTTATCAAACACCAGCTTCAAGTGCACCTTGTGTTCCTCTAGAGTTGTGCTATATACAACTATGTCGTCGAGGTATACTATGACGAACTGATCCAAGTATTCGTAGAAAACCTGGTTCATTAACATGAAAAACGTAGCTGGGGCGTTTGTCAAGCCAAGGGCATTACCAAGAACTCAAAGGCCCCATATCTTGTTACGCACGTTGTCTTGGACTTGTCCCCTTCGGCAATACGTACTTGGTAGTACCCTGATCGTAAGTCCAACTTCGTGAAGTATTTGGCCCCGTGAAGTTGGTCGAACAAGTCACATATTATCGGCAGTGGGTATTTGTTGCGTACTGTCACCTTGTTTAAGGCTCTATGATCTATGCACAGACGCAACGTCCCATCCTTCATTTTCTGGAATAGTACGGGGGCTCCGTAAGATGCTTTTGTCGGGCAGATGAATCCTGCAGTCAACAACTCATCTAATTGTTTCCTCAATTTGGGTAGCTCAGGGGGAGCCATCCGGTACACATTCTTCGTTGGGGGTTTAACCCCGGGGAGGAGTTAAATTTC